CATCACCACAAGCACTAATTAGTTGCTTCAAAAATAATTCTATTATTGTAGATCTTTGTCATCAGTTGATTATGAGAGTGGGCCTATTAAATTTTCTATTAAATAAATTAATGTATTTAATATTACAGTCCCACATAAATTAAAAAAATATCAATCGTTTACATAACACATTTAGTTATAAAAAAAAATGAGATAAAAAAATTATCATAAAAAATTAGATAAAAGGTTGTTCAAAATCATTTCCCTTATGAATTCAATCCGGTCCGTTGGCCAATCTCTTGAAATAAATAAATAAATATATTTCTTGATTTGTTATAAAAAATAATAATTGATACACACTTTATATTTTTAACATATTTTATATTATATTTATTAAAAAATTTACTATTTTTTTATCCATACTGAAAAGTAAATAATTTTAAAAATGTAATAATATATATAAGATATTATAAATTAATTAAATTAATTATATTTATATTATATTTTAATAATTGAATCGAAATAAATGTCAAAAGATATATTAATTTAAATATGTATCAATAATTTTTTTAATAAAAAAACTAAAATACGTTTTTGTCTTGATTCTGGCCAACAATGTTGAATTGTTGTAAGGACGCTTAACGTATCATCAACCATAGAATTATTATGAAACGACGAAATGTGGGTTACAATTTTTTGGTCAAAGTGATACGCATCCAAAACAATTGATATATATAGCTATATTTAAACTTAAAACTTTTTAAAATCTCGTTATGTTCAATTATTATTCCAATAAACTTGTAAATACAGATAATTTGCTTTTTATTTAAAAATGAAGATACCAAAATCAATTTTGACAAAATCGGCACAATAAGAGTTGCTGATAACAAACTCCCAATGACAGTACGAATGATTTTTAAAAAATTGAGATTATGCCAGACGTGTTGGATATTATTGTATGTTAAAAAACTCAACATGATTCTAAACAGTAATAATTTGTCTTTTTTTTTAAGACTACCCATTTGTTCTTGAAGAATTAAGGAGATTAGCTGGAGGGGGAATTAAACAAGAAAGAGTGGTTCAAATTGCAATTTAAGATTCAAGCACACATCTAGTTTGTCCGCTCCGTGTGCCCTTTAAAGGGTGAATTAAACCCTAAGCCATGTTTGGTTAAAGATTCGTTTTATTAAAAAAAATTAATTAAAAAAATCATTGAGAAAGTATCATGTAAAAAATAAAAAAATATATTTTACAAAAAATTACTTAGGTTTGTAATGAAATTTTATTTAGAATGTTGTTAGGTTATTAATTTTGATATTTTACGAGTTGGGAATTGTGTAAAAAAAATAATTAAAATGTCACTTTTACTCTTATTTTGTTGTAATATTAATCTGTAAAAAAGCTTAGAGAGAAATTCCTCCCAACCAAACACCCCCCAAATAACTTTGTAAAGGGGGGCTGTTTGGTTGAAAATTAACTTTTTCAAAAAGATGCTTTTCTAAAAAAATTATTGGTTAAAGTATTATAGGAAAAGTTAAAAAAAATATTGTATGAAGAGTTATTAAGTTTTGTAATGAAATTTTATTGAAATTCTATTAGGTTTTTAATTTTGGTGTGTTTAGTAAAAAATTAATAGAGAAAGAGTATAAGAAAAGTTGTTTAAGTGGTTTCATATAAAGAAAACTGTGAAAAACTTTTTTTTCCTTGAAAAGAAAAATTTATAAATTTAGAATTATTTAAAAGAAAAATAAATGTTAAAATACTAATTTTATCATTTATTCATTATAATTTCAAAGTATATAAATATTAAAATACCCCCATAAAATTGTAAAAATACACATTTTCCAAGAAAATAAACCAAACACCTACTAATAAGCATATAGGGATAATGGTATAGACGGTTAGACGCATTAGACATATATATGATTATCCTAGGAGAAAGTCGATGCTATCATCATGTCTGAAATTGAAAGATAAAGCCATAGCAATTGAGATAAATAGACATTCATAGAACACCTTGAGCTCATGGGGGTGTGAAGAAATCTTCATCTCCCTAATGGTATAAACAA